ATTTTTACTTTTTTTTGTCTGTTGCCTAACATGAATTTTAATTCAAAGTCAACCTCTTTGCTCAGTTGACATTAAGGTTTTATGTTTAGGAGCTCTCAATTTTTAAGTTTCTAGGGCTCAGATTCCAACTGTGTTAAAATCAGAGGTGTGATCCCTTGAAATGATCATACCTATGCTGTTAGAAAAGATGATGCCTGTGGTTTTCAGATGAATGACAGAGTTCTTTAGAAATAAGCTATTATCTGACTTCCTTCTTTTCACATATCAATTTCCTGGCCAGACGTGCCGGGGTCACATGAAGACACATTTACATTAGATATGCTGTCATGATTTGAAACATGGACCAAACAATACCATTTATACTCTAGCTTTGCTATTAGGCCTAAATGTGAGTTACCTAAAAATTTTCTGTAGAGTGGTTCTGCTGTTTTATTTTCCCTCAGGAGTGCTGTGAAAATGAACACAAGCGGGAAACATTTACAATGAATTTTAAACTTGTAAAGGTAAGCTAAGTAAAGGCTAAACTTGTAAAGACTAAACTTCTAAGTATTATTTACTTGAACTACCACTTTCTTCATTCAGATGTAGACACTTGAGGCAATACATCTTAACAAATATAACAATAACATGAAAAACACAGAAATATGTATTGAACCAATTTTTAACAATCAACTGCAAAATCTAAGTCTTCTCTGTTGGTGGACAGTAAAGAACTATTTGTAATTTTTTTCTTTTTTCTTTTTTTTTTTTAAAATAAGGGAGCATTCAGAGTGCTGATGCTTTGAATGAATTCCAGCATGAGTAATTACATCCTACCATATCTAAATATCAATTAGATGTGATCTTTTCTTTTTTATTCGTTTCCTGTTCCACATTGCTGGATAATGTTGCAGTACCCTTCTGAACAGTAGCCACATTCACCCTAATGCTGGCAACATTTTTGTGGCAGACAAAGTGATATCTTTGTCTCCATGATGGTTCTCTAAATGCTTCCACTCACAGTGGTTTTACTCTGACAGCTTCAGTGGTGTTGCTCTGGCTTATGTCAGCATAAGTGTGTATGAGAATTCTGACACAATAAGAACTATATAAATATCAAATGGTTAATAATATTTGATGCTGCAAGAAGTTGATGGGCATAAAGCTGAATCCTATGAGGCAGAGATTTAACTACAGGAAAAATATAAAATTCGCTACTCAATAGTAAAAAAACTCTATCTTAGAATTAGTATTTAGCCTCTTGGGTTTTTTCCTCAAGTTCATCAGGATGAATAGTGAATACGGACTTTCCACTTCAACTAATTTACAGAACATTAGGCCCCTGGTATTTATACTGTGTGCAGTGCTGTGGTATTGGGGTTATAGTCAATAGTTTACCAAGTGCTATAAAATTATTGTTTTCACTAGACACTATGCCAAATTTCTTTGAGGGCAAAAGATTCAGTGACCAAAAAGACTTTATTTATTTATGAAGAACATGGTTGAGAGCTCACAAATGGTGAGCAAATCAAATTATTTTCCTTTTCTTATAAGCCCCCTTTGGCAACTCAGCAGAGTACAGTGCAGTAGAAAAGTGGATGGGAGGAGGACTATCTATCTCACTTTGATTTTGATGGTTTTTTCAGATACTGAGTCCTCTAAACTTCAGGCCAAATAAAAACACGAGGTAACCTTGCAATATCTCACTCTTTATTTGCCAGGATGGAGGGCCTGATACCACAGTTCAGAAAAAAATAAGGATGTTCCAGATGGCACTGAAGGAAGCTGGATGTGATACTTAAAAGTGTCTCGCAGTCTTGCTTTATCTGAACTTTGATCCTTCATGGTCACTTTTGTACATGGATCACAGATTTTGGTTTTACTGGCAGGTATCTGCTTAGCATCTTTCAGATGGTGTATCTATAGGATGGGGCAGATCTCAACACCTATAGCACAATTCCTTAGTTAAGGTGAGACTGGCCTCATCTTTCAAAATTAAATTGGGTGTGATATTTTTGCAGACATTTGGTCTCTCCTGGTTGCAGAGACTAATGAAGGTGATCTGCTGTGGAATATTAGGGCCTCATTTTATAAAATAACAACTTTGAAGCTTTCTGCTTGTAAAATCAGAGAAAGGGTCACTGGCCTACCACCTCGGTAGAAATGGAAGATTTCTTAGCTTGGACATCACCTAACATTCCTGAAAGATAGAATTAGATCCAACAAGGAACTAAGGTTACATCTGGAAGCTGAGCTGTTTGTCAGCCAATAAGACAGGCCTTGATATTTTTGCTCAGTAATCTTTTAATGGGCAAAAGAAATGTAATTTCTTTTCCTGTCAGGCAGTTTGCATCCAGAGAATAGTTACTAGGTGACCTTGACTTGCATAAAACAGAGCTTCAAACAGAGCTAAATTGGTTCCTAGTGAGCCTGGCTGGTCATTTGACAATACTCTTGTATTGCTTTGGGATACCCAAAGTCCCTAGGCACAGATTTATTCTGCACTCGGATTGCAAATGCCTATAAAAAGTGACAATCTGAGAGATTTACAACTCATTGCAATGACTAAAGTGTTAATTCTGAAATATCTCACTAACATACACCATTTTCATGTTTCTATCTAGTAAGCAAGATAAATCTGTGAACAAGAACTTCAGTGCACATCAGTCTTGCTGACTAAAGATCATGTATTAAGAGTTTGCTGTTATGTAAAGAAGATTACTTATTAGAATAATGGTTTTGAAGTTGCATACAGGGCTGGCATCCTTTTGATTAATATATCTGTTGCATATAAATTAAAATAAGGTTTCATATTATGGAATAAGGGCTAGGTGCACTAATGGGGATAATTTGTACCTGCAATCCATAGAGGCCCTTAATTTTGGACACCAACAAGAGACGTGCATGGCAGTTGTGGATGAATGTTTGTACACAGCTCATACATGTATAATATTTCTACTCACCTAATTCACACATGGACATGTGAAAATAAACCCATTATCATTTTCTTTCTTTTAGCAGACTTTCATTCAAATGCCACCATAGCCCAATTCCACTGGAAGACAAATCAGCATTCAAGCTGTCAACAAAGAAGACTGATATTGGTCATAAGTCCCTATTATCTGACAGCCTTGACGTGGACTTGAATTTCAAGATACAGCTGTGATCAATTCTACTTAACTGTACCATTACCTGATGGCTCATCAACACATGGTAGAATAGAGACCAAATTATACTGAAAAGTACTTATAAATGTGGTTGCTACCTCTGATGTTACACTGATAAACAAAGCATCAGCTCTGGATGACACATTATTTACATGGATTGAAGTACAGCACCCAGTCCAGCTGTAACAGCGCAGCAATGATTTTGCCAGAGCTTGGAACCGCACATAGTGAACAGGTCTAGGAAAGAGCTTATCTGTATAACACATCTCCTAACATTATCTCCCACCCCAGTAAATCTAGTTGGTTAATGGGATACTGACATTTTATTAGATTGTTGTGTATCACCACTGCACAAGCACCCCCTGGGATTTTGTATCCCTATTTTTAGGCTTATTGTTTTCTTACAAGTGTCTACTATTGAGAGCAGGTTGTGCTGTATTACAGCTGGCCGACTAATAAATTCCCATGGCAGATGAAGATCTGAGCTTATACTTCTCGAGTATTTTTCATACTGTAATGAAATAAAAGTCTTTGAAATAGACAAGAGACACATGCATGTGGTCTAGGCTGGCCAGAAGTGGGGGATTCCCATAGGGTTGTTATAACTGCTTTGCCTTACATGGAGCAGAATCCCAGACTCCAGGTGAGCATCCACAATATACCACCTTATAGACTACCTTAACTCTGCTTATAATGTAGAGTTCATTTCTTCTCTGTCCTTTTCTCTGAACTGGACAGCAGTGCCCCTCAGGAGGCTATTGCTATGATACAGCTGGCCAGCATAGCGGGAGGGTGTGGACGCTCCGTCTTCTACCATAGAAATAAGCAAAAAATGAGCCTGTGAATGTCCTGCTTCTAAAACTGCTTTATTTTGGTTTTAGTCTGAAATGAAGTATCAAATATGACCATTATGATGTGAATGAATGAATTTGAATTCTCTCTGTCTAACTCTCTACTTAGCAACTTCATTAACTGCTGTCTTTCTTAATTAATTTTTTATCAGATTTTGCTTCTATGGCTAAGCATGTCGGATGCCTGGAACCATTTCAGTTTTCAGTGAGAACCTCTGTTAACATGACTCAATCCCTTGTAAATGCAGACATGCACTCAGCAAATTTGATAAGCCCTGAAATGAATTTAGATGCATAAAGACGGTGAAGCAACCTAATCCTTCCTACAGAAGATAATATTTAAACAAATTTACTTCATTCAATGAAACACCTGGGCAAGTTTATTTAATATAGTCTTTGCATTTAATTATCCTTGCTGAAGGGGCACTTGCCATATTTCAAAATATGATTATTTTCTTTGGTATTAATTATTTTAAGATCCTCAAAGGGAACCTGGAGAAAAATAAAAAAAAGGAGGCTCTTAATTAACCTGAGCCACCAGAATCATCTTTTTGGAATAGGGAAGCTGGGATATGGGACTAAAAATAAACAGTACTTTAAAAATCAGACTCTCTACATGAATAATGAAGAATAGCTGTTAAAACCTGGAAAGAATTCTGTATGAACACATTGTTGCTAGGCATTAATATCAGAAAGGCACACTTCTACATTAAACCATCTTATGAATAAAATACAGAAATAGAAAAAATAATTCTGTGAAGAGCTCAGTGAGGTCAAAATTATTGGCAGAAGTCAAGGAAGTGCAAAATTATCATGTATCCGGAGAACAATACAGCCTAGAGTCAGCATCTTCTTTTCTTTCTTCCTTTTGCTCTTGTGGAGGTGGCATAAAGACAGCTATTCCTTTTGGGAAGAATTTATTCTGCAATATATTTCTGGCAAGTAGTTTTACCGCAAGTATTTTCACTGCACAATCTTCTTACCTTGTCACTTGCAAGAGGGAATGCCGTATGCAAAAACAGGAGATGCTGTTCTTCCCACCACAGCTGGAACTGCAAAAAGAGTGGGACTTGGATGTTGTTACTCTAGATAGCAAATAAACACACTATGGAACCTTGTGCATGAGTAATGAGATCACTACTTTTTTTGCAGCATTAGTACTACATGAAAGAATATTTGCAATATGGGTTTGCACAGAATGAATATAATTGTATGCATGTATCATCTAAAAGTTGCTTCGGTTGCCTAGGCACAAGAAGGAGAGCAACTGTGCGTGTTTGAGGATATTATTTAGTATTGCACTTCTAGGCTACTCTTGTTTTAATCATTTAATGGTACTATGCTACTTGAAAGTCTAAATGTAGTCTTGCAAAGATGGCATTACATGTGCCTTAATCTTTGCAAAAAGGCAGACAGCACTTCATGCTATCAGTAACAGGTTTGCCTCGTATTCTACTCCCTCTATGAACTGTATTGTTGGAATCCGAAACTCAGCTATCAGCAGAAAAGGAACTGATAGGATTATGTAGCAGGCCATGGACAGCAGGAGCTGGGAGAAACTCCTTACTCTGAGGAGCCTTATTAAAAGACTTGTTAACATTCAACCATGTTTGATTGTCCTGTCTCCTTCAGCAAGATATGGGAAGACTTTGCGATAATGTCATTAGATGACGTAGAAGCCCCTTTGTTCTCTCCCCTCCATGTGGTCCTTGCTACAGAAAATATTAACCACTTTGTGTAATTGGAGCAGCGAATTGTGTAATCATCTAGTTAGCATAATCTGTCCTGGATTAGCATAATCCATCCCTTAATTAGCATAACCTGTCCTCTTCATTAACATGTCCTGCCTCCAAGACTTTATATTGTGAAGTGAGTGTTAAATAAAGATTCCAGTTTTCACCCCCGACCTGGGATCATTTCGTTTTTGACCTTCACACTGTATGTTCCACACATTGCAGGTATGAAAAGGGATTAAAATCAGTTTTACAACAAAAGTGGCTTTGCCTTTTATTCTATCAATTACCAGGCAATTGCATAAATTTTGATTTTCAGTCGAAGTGAGTGTAGTTATCGAATCATACTACTGCTTCATCTAGAAAACAAATTAAGCTGTTTTATGCCGCTTGCTGAAAATACACTTGTTTTTCCCTTAGTTTTTTCAAAAGGCATGAGGTTTATTTCATTTTTCTGTGGAAACTTTCTGTTGGTGCTTATAATCTCCCTTTTTCACTATTGGTCAATCAAACTCATCTGAAAACACTCCACTGGGCTCCATCTTGGTGCTGAAAGTGTGTGCTTTCTCTGGGAAACTTTTAAAATTATAGAAAATGCTTGTGAAATATGGGAAATAATGAGAGAAAAAATGTTTCCTGATCATCTATGTTTGTGTTCTTTGCAACTAAAAATATTTTCATGATCAAACTGAAATATTTGTCACAGAATTGTATTTGAGCCCTATCCAGAGACAGCATGGCAAGGAACAAGTCCAGAGGAGGGCAATGAATATGCTCAGAGTGCTGGGGTACCTCCTTTGTGAAGCCAGGCTGAGAGAGCTGGGGCTGTTCATCCTGGAGAATAGAATGGTCTGGGATGAATTTAGGGCACCTTACAGTACCTAAAGGTCTCACAAGACAGCTGAAGAGGGACTTATGACAATGGCATGGAGCGACAGGATGTGGGGAAATGTCTTCAAAATGAAAAAGAGTATATTTAGATAAGATATCAGGAAGAAATTATTTACTGTGAGAGTGATGAGGCACTGGCACAGTTTGCTCAGAGAAGCTGTGGATGTCCCATCCCTAGAAGTGTTCAAGGCCAGCTTGTTTGGGGATACTAACAACCTGGTCAAGTGGAAGGTGTCCCTGCTCATGGCAGGGGGTTGGAACTAGATAATTTTAAGGTCCCTTCCAACCCAAGCCATTCTATGGTTCTGTGAAACCCAAGTTCCTCTCATCTGCAAGGTGACAGTGAGTTCAGTACGTCACTCCTCTGTCAAATCACCCTTCGAATATTGTGTCATGATATTCACACATAGCACCTTTAAAGGTGGAAGTGAATAGAAATTGGAGAGCCTGTAAGGCATCAAAGGGGGTAGGAGGTCAGAGCTGTGCTGTCCCAGAACTGGGTGGCAGGGCCAGCAACTGGTGGGTGTGCCACCAGGCCAGGTGCTAAAGTGGGCTTCTTGCCTGACGCATGGTGTGACTACCTGGTGGCTGGTCCTCTGCTGGCAGAGGCCTCTGCATCTGCAGACAGAATCAGTTAGGTTGGAAAAGACCTCTGAGATCACTGAGTTCAACCTATGATTGAACACCACCATGTCAACTAGACCATGGCACTAAGTGCCACGTCCAGTCTTTCCTTAAACACCTCCACCACTTCCCTGCCAGCCCATTCCAACATCTAATCATCCCTTTTGTGAAGAAATGCTTCCTAATGCCCGACCTAAACCTCCCATGGCGCAGCTCAAGACTGTGTCCTCCCGTCCTGTCGCAGGTTGCCTGGGAGAAGAGTCCACTCCGCACCTGCATACGACCAAGTTGTAGAGAGCGTTAAAGTCCTCCCTGAGCTTCCCCTTCTCCAGGGCCGGTTTCCTGCGTGCACTCCCGGCCCTGTCCGCACGGTGCCCCGCTGGGGTCACGGACACCAGGGGACTCCCTCCCGCCCTGACACGGCGCGGGGCGGCGGCGGGGGGGGGAGGCGGCGCTGGGGAGGAGGAGTGGGAAGGAAACGGAGAGGGTAAAAGCGTGCAGGGACGGGGGCTGAGAGGGGAGCGAGCGGAGAGTTGGCGGCCGAGGGGCGGGGAGCGGAGCGGGACGAACTGCCCGAGCTGGCGGCCGCCCGCCCGGGCCATGTCGCGGCGAGACGGCGGCGGGACGGGGCTGCCCGCCCGCTGCTCTGGCTGGCGCTGTGCGCGCTGTGCCCGCTGTGCCGCGGGAGCGCCCTGCCCTCAGGGCCCGGCCCGGCGCCTGCAGCCCCCGCTGCCGGCACGGCGGGCTCTGCCTCGGCAACGGCACCTGCCTCTGCTCCAAGGGCTACGAGGGCGAGCGCTGCCAGCACGGTACCGGTGCCCGGGGCGGCACGGCGGGGGTGGGACGCGCTGGGGTCCCTGGGCGCGTCTGAGTGCCAGCAGGGCTGGGCACAGGTACCTGTGTTCGCTCTGTCGTGAGAGCCTTCCTGCGAGTAATCCCTACGGGAAGGACTGAGGAGCTCGGGTTTGGATCTGGTGTGAGAGGTGGGTGGTTGGGTGACGGGGAGGGCGTAAATGAGGCGCGGTGGAAGAAGAGGGTAAAGACCCAGAGTTTTTGGTGGGTGAGGCAGTGATAGCAGACTGATAGAGCACAGCCAAGAGCCGGCGTGAAGAGCTCACCTGGGTGAGTAGACCCCGCCGTGGGGCAGTAGATCTTGTTTTACCACCTGAACGTTGGGTAAAGATCCACTTACTGGACAGACTTCTGCTGGCTTCCTTCTGTTGCTTTAGCTGTACATGCTTAAATACTTCCCTGGAAGTATTTAAGGAATCACAGAATCACGGTGGGCCCTATGATCCAGCAGCGGCATCCTAGAGCACGTGGCACAGGACGGTTCTTGAATGCTTTTAGAGGCCTGACGTCTTACTAAGCCTCAGCAATATTAAACTGGTATTTCTAAGTGCGATTAGTCGGGATAGTACTAACAAAAAGATCAACAAAATGAGTAGAAAGTAGGTTGTGTTCTGGATTTCTTTTTATTTAGAATAGGTTGTGGTTTTAAAAGTACTGGACTTTACTTCCTAGATGTTACCCGACCCACAGAGTCACTTGTACATCCCATTTCCATGGTAGGAGGTGTAAAACTAAGGTGAACTGAAGTCTGTGCCTGTTGGTTTCCAAGGGGAGACAAAGTATTTTTTGAAAATGTCACCCAATATGCAAAAACGAACATCATGAAGAAGAGTTTTAGTTTAAACCCTGTTTAATGTAATATGTCTGATTTATAAATACTTTCTTTTAAAGTTTAACTGCAGAGCTTGTGGGTATTAATTGCTAAAAACACTCAATGTCAGGAGTTCCTTTGCTTCACATGCTGTCCATATGTGACGACATGATATAATTTGTACAGTATTTGTTCTAATTTTCAATGTCCTTCATTTAAAATGTGCTTTTTTTTTTAACTCTGAGATGAGATGCTGAAAATTTCATTCAGTTCTGTAATCATTCATAGAGTGTTGTTTCATTTGGAGGCTGTGGCTAGCAGGTAGTGACAAATGATGTGTAGCCAATGTGTTGTGTAGTGGAGATTAAAAACTATGCTGTATGAACTGTTCCAAACAACGGTTGGATTCTAGACATTTTTGGGTTTTGGGGAGAAGTGAAAGATTGTTGGAGATGGAGATCCATTTTTGAACTAGACAGGTGAACTGTCTGGAATTGTTAAGGGAACCACTGAATCCTTGTTCTCATAAAGTCATCATTGTAGAAAAAAAATGGATAAATGAAGCTTCATCCCCTGTTCTGTCAAGAAAACTGAACTGAAAACTGTGAAATGACACAGAAATAGATTTTTTCTTAAATTGAGAGCTCATTTCCAATGAACCAAGAGCATCTGGTAAAACAGTTAAGGAGAACTGAGCACAGGCTGGTTCTTTCGTACGTCTCTGTCCTTTATTTGCCTGCAAATACTCATTCTACAGGTACTAATGTGAAAAATCCTGTGTTCTTCAGTTGGGTTGCTTCAGAGTGCTATATGAGAACAAAATCAGTGTAGTGTTACTCACTGCTCATCTTTTGCCTTTTCTTCCCTCTCTTTCAGACTTTTCACCCATCCAGTCAAAGGATAAAGCAATGTGATGTAGAGAACTGCAGTTAACTCAGATGAGACTCTCAGAAACACATGGGTTTCTAAAATCTGTGTGTGAATAAAAAATGTTTTCTCAGACACCAGGGCTGATTCAGGAATGATTATGAGTAGCAAGGAGGTCTGTGTGATAGGTAATTGATTTGCAATCTGACTGGATTTATCCAGAATTTTGCAAAATCAAAATGTTTATTTGCACCTTATCCAGGCTGTCCAAGCTGTCAGCAGTGAAAAAGTTGCAGGATCTGTGATGACCATAGGTGTTTTTCTCACAGCAGATAATTACAATTATGAGAAAAGTTACGTGTATCTCAGATGATTTCTAAACTAAACACTGTACCTTTCAGAAAAGTCTCTGAGAGACCAGCTGAGGAAAAAAAAAAAGAGGATGGGGGAGAAAGAAATGGTGATTTACTTCTGGAGACTTTTTAGAGAAGAGGTGTAAGGAACTGAGCATGTAGTTTTTCTGGAGAGGTACACAAGCAACTCAGGTATGTAGGAATCCAGTAAAGAGAAAAAAGTTGGATATTTCATCTTAAGAATCAGAAGATCCCACTGAAGTTGCAGCATTTTTTTATAAAATCATTTCTTCTTATCACCTATTTTCTCACTTGTCATTTCTTGACTTTAGTTATCAAAAGCTTTTTTGGCAGTCCAGCTGTGCTCCTTCATCACTCTTTAATATGGCTCTTTCTTCTGCCTGTTCTGTCTAGGGTCCAAAAGATTGCTTAGTTTTGAATGTTTAAAAGCTTCATAGGGTGGAGTGCTCTCTGTGTTATTTCACCTGATTGGCAATGTAGGATGACATGACAAATATATCATAGGAAATACGAAGACAACTGCAAGTATACTAATGTGCAAATTTCTTATGTATTTAAGCAATAACTTAAGTAATCTTCACATATATTTATCCAAGCTGTCTTTACTGTCTGTCTTACAGCTACATGTTATCCAAAATGCAAAAATGGTGGGGAGTGCCTCCGACCTGGAAAATGCAGATGTCCACCTGGATATGGAGGTAGATACTGTCATAAAGGTAAGACCCAAAAAAGTCGTAGCTTTGAAAGACAAGAAGTTTGAAAACAGACTAAATTAATTTGGGACTCCTCAAGTCCTGGATCTAATACACTTTGAAATAATGACCTTACTTTCTGTAAACCTATGACCTTACTGTCAAGACATGCATGGCCTAGAGGATCTGCATGCTTGCAGGAGGATGGGATGGAGTACATCTACTGAAATGCGTTGTGAGAATCTGAGCAATTTTTTTCGCTTAGAAAATACCATGTTTATGTGTTACATAAATATTCTATTTAACTTTGTAACAGATTCTTTCTAAATAATTTAATGAAATGGCTTGCATAGATACATATTTCTGCATTAAGTGGTTGAAACTTTTGTGTAGTATCTGCAAGGCTGTAATATTGATGGCAAGTCACTAAAGACATGTGTGGCAATGTATTGTTGAGAGGTAGTAGGAGATGACAGAGATGAGGAGTAGCAAAGACCAATTTTTATGGTTTTGTGAAGTCTATTTAATATATGTGTGGTTTGGAAGAGGCAATCCAAGAAAACATTGTTATGTTGTTATGAACTGATCGGACTACTGATAACTCGAGTTCTGGGAGAAAAGGGGAAGCAAACTTGAAATAGTTTTAGGGAAAAATGATGCAGTAGGCAAGATATCTCCAGAAAGGGAAGAAAAAAGGAAGTGTTGCTTTCCTTTCAGAAGAAAAGCCTCAATGTGGCACCTAGAAATTTTTAGAAGTTTTTTTTGAAAGGACACTGGTAAATTAGTTGGGCAGTCGTTAGTGTGCTGAGAACTTAATAAACATTCTGTCTCACTATGGTCATAGCAACTAGCAACACCTCACAGGGTTCTCTGTTTATGCTTGATGTTTATTTTGGGGGCATTTTCTTTACGTCCTTCCAATGCGTAATAGCTACCAAGAGTTTACTTGGAATGTAAACTGGGTACTTGGGGAAGGAACTCAACTAGCTTCTGCAGCTTTCTGGAGCCTTGGTGTGGATGGGTTGTTTTGGCTTGGTGAGGTTTTTTGTTTGTTTATTTTTTTCATAAAGCTGTATTTGATATTTTATGAAGAAAGTGTGAGCTGAGTACTTAACATGGTAACATCTATCTAAGTCTGCAGAAGCTTAAACTATAGCTCTGGGATGTTAACTAGACTGAATAAGAATTCAGCTGCCAGTGATAATAATTTAATATCAAAATTGTTAACATTATAGAAGAATAGAAAAGATAAGAAGGTATCTTCTGATGAAAATCTGTATAACACAGTTACTGTTACATAATGCATTGGGAAAGAACTATTCAGTTTGAGTGGACATAACAGTGTTGACAGCAATGAGGCATGGTCAGCTTAATTTTCAAGCAAAAGAATTTTTAGCTTTTTCTTAAATGTCTTAAAAGCCAACTGAAAGTGTAGCTTTGTGGAATCTTGACAGGGACCCCTCAAGAAAGGGGAACTTGATATTCTTACAAGAGTCTAAATCAGAAACAAGGTGAGTGATACTACTTAAATAGAAAAAAGCAGAGTGAGGATTCAGTTTATGCTAATACTACAGCTTAGACTTGGATTAGTATCTGAGTAAAAGTCCTTCTTGTATTTGCCAATAATGCCAAGGTCGCAGGTTCGATCTCTGTACAGGCCATTCACTTAAGAGTTGGACTCAGTGATCCTTGTGGGTCCCTTCCAACTCAGAATATTCTGTGATTCTGCTATCAGGTTATCCCTGTAAGGCAAAGGTAAGGCTTGTGTTCACCTTGTACAAACTTGTGTGTGGGGCAGTGTGCTATTACAGAATCACACAGAATCATAGAATGGGTGATGTTGGAAGGGACCTCTGGAGGTCATAATTTCCAACCTCCCTGCTCAAACCAGCTGCCAAGGACCAGGCAGTTCCTCCTTGCCTTTCTAGAAGATTGGAGTGATATTTGCATTCATCCAATCTTGAGGCACTTCTTCCAGTTACCAAAATCAATCAAACACCATCAATATTAAATACATTAACTTGGGTAATGTGACAAAGAAATATGCAAACAAACTTTGAAGAGCTTTTCCAGCTATTCTGGAGTTGACTTGTTTGTCCTTGCATGTTTAGTATTTGTGCCAAAAATCTGTTAGCTCAAAACTTGTGGTTGAACAGAGATTTGGCCTTTTTTTTCCTACAAATTATCAAGCAGACATCCCAACTGTCCATTTTTATAATGAAGCATAGTTGTTCCTCTTCAATGCGGTGAAGGTGGTGTATAATTTACATTCATACTTGTGAAAGGAAGCATTTGATTGTACAGAAGAATGATTGTGCTGCTTTTCAAAGATGTTGCTCACCACAGTTGATACCAATCATATGTCTGGCATAAATAATGCTTCATTAATGAGGCCTGCAGGGCTTTGTTGTGTGGAACAGTTCTGAAATGAGGAGGCTGGTTTAGATAATTGGCATTTAGGAAGGCACTGCTTAGGTTCATTTGTCAAAGTAATATCCATTTCTCTTCTTCCTCTTGTTATATGTAGGTCCTGTCAGGTAAGGAAATACGTACATCCTTGACCACAGGTTATTGGTGTACCAGCTGTGATTTGGCAAGTTTGATATGAATGTGCATGTTAGTAGTTCCTGTGGTGTAGTTGATGAACAGTGGTGTAGCTGGTGAGCAGTTGGCTCACAGCTGGGAGGGGAGGAGCTGTGCCATAGCAATAATACTCTCAGGCTAAATGCTCAATAAGCTTTTAAGCATATGCCTAATTTTAACTGCTTTTTGAGGTGGCATTTGCAGTTGTGGTTCTGTCATCCTCACTCATTCCTTAGAGAACTGTGCCTTGCTCTGAAAAGTCATTGCAGATGTGATAAAACAAGCAGTTGATGCTAGACCACCTGTTTAAAGATAATGATTTGAAGTCCTGTTCTGCTTCTGAAATGCACGGCGTATGCTGTCTTCTGCAGTAAGCTGTGAAGGAGGCTGTCAAAATGGTGGGGAATGCGTCTCTGTCAATGGAGTTGTGAAGTGCCTTTGTGCTTCTGGCTGGACAGGATCAAGATGCCAAGAAGGTGGGTATCTACATTCATGAAAATATTTATATTGATTAAAAATAAAACTGCAGTAACAAAAACATTTTAAAAGTATTAAGAGACTAATAACTATGGAAATGTCATTGCATTACTACAGAAATGAGTGACCTACATTATTGGTACATACTCAGGTAAAATCATGTGAAATTATTTTGCATTAGGTGTACATCTGTTAAGATTTAAACCAAAAATCTTAACACAATACATAAGTACTTTTTTTTTTCCATTTTCATGGTCCGGGAAGTGCTTTTGGAGCTATACCAGCTGAGTATCTGGCCTGGAAGAAAATGCGTTTTGCTATTTTGATTTGTATCATCCTGAATCTTTCATTCTGTCAGAATTCTTTTATATCAGTTTTGTAAATCCTGCTGACTTATCCATTCTTTTTCTTCTAGCAATTTGTCCTCAAGGTTGTCGGAATAATGGAGCTTGTGTGGCTCCTGGGATTTGTAGCTGTCCAGCTGGATGGGTCGGTGGAGCATGTCACTTAGGTAAATGACTTCTGACATTTTTCATTTATCCTTTCCTCTGCTTGTTTGATTTACCAATATAGTGTTCAAATCCTCAGTGCCTAACAAAGCTTCTAGGGAAGTATCTTAGAATAGTAACTGAGAGCTGCTTCAGCATACTGGGGCTCTTACAAGTATGGCTTTTTAATTTGGTCAAAAACACAGAATTTTTCCACTTTTACAGAGATTCAGATTTTGGTTGCCACCAAATTAATTACTTGATATGTCTTGTCCGTATTTCTGAAATATTTTTTATGTACTGAGACCCTAGAATAAAGAACTGAAAATAACCATTACAGAAATACTATTGCTACTGGTGTGGGTTAGAAACTTCATTAAATTCTATGGACGTACAAAACTGAAACTTGATTCTGACTTTGAGGATAAGTTGGCAGAATCAATTCCAGGTGCTCTTAGAATTCTGAGTAAGAGAATTCTGTAGTCAGTATTAGTACTAACACTCTTGCTGAACAAACACTGGCATTTTTACAAATTTTGATTCACAAAAGCAGATGATTATAAAGTCTTTAATCTACTCTTCGTGGGCCTTGTATGCTTGTAGCAGCACTGCCCTGATGTTTAAAGCTCATGTAAACATTGGTTTTAAACTGGATATTGTGGGTGCAAGGTCTCTGAATTAAGTCCTCTGCATTTGAAGTTTTTGTGTGGCTGTAGGAATCTAGTGTTAGTTCTTCTGCAATATATATGTTCAAGCAAACATTAACAAATAATACTTTGATGTTCCCATTTGACCATGCAAATCCTTATCCTTTGTATTTGTCAGTGTCTTGAGATAGAGCCAATAAAAGCCAACTGTGGGAGATGCAAAGAACTTGTAAAATGCTTAGCTCCATTCCCTGCAGCTGCAATAGTGGTAGAAGTGGTCAGGTTCTTAATGTCAAAATCACTGTTCTTGAACTAACTAGGTCTGCATTGTTTGACTTCTGTTGGTGCAGATGCTCATAAGCAAATTGCAGCTCCTGGCTTGTTAACTGAACTGATGTGTAGCTAGGGGACAGCTGAAGCTCAGCCCTCCTCTGCCCTTCCTGTGGGGGAACAGAAAGTGGTGACTCTTTTCTCATGCATATGGATCCAAGAACTCGCTTAAATAAGTTTCAGCAAGAATTTTTATTGTTCTCTCACTTTCATGGAAGCATCCATCTCGAAAACAGCCCATGCTTTAAAGAACAGAAATTATAGTATTTTAAAAGGGAAATGGAGCATGAATAAGACTAGACATACTGTGCCTGTATTCCAGTGAAGGCCATGATGCCATAAATTGAGAGGCATTGCTTTTCAGTTCTTCCATTATGCTGTTATTTATACTGTCCCAATGCAGTCACCAGGGAACAATTCTGCTACCACAGTGAGAAGAAAAATGATCCTGTATTGTGCTGAAGACATACTGTGTATCTGGTGTCTCATTTCAGCTGTATGTAAACTACCCTGTCAACACGGAGGGAAGTGCATAGCTCCAAACGTGTGCAGATGTCGACTGCCATACTCTGGTCTACAGTGCACAAAGAAAAGGAAGGAATGAAGCAACTTCAGCAAAGATAAGCTGCTTTATTTTTTTTTTTTTTTACATAACCATCCAGAGATGAAGTCTGCAGAAGTGGGGGACCTTAAAATAAACATGGTAACTAACTGATTTCAAGTAGCTTTTTGTCCTCACTATATTAAGTAAATGCTTTTCTATATGAAAGTGTCGCTGATTGTAACAAAGTTGTTTTAAGTATTCAACTGTGTGTAGTGTATGGCACATTTTCTTCTGTTCCCATTTTTTCTTAATAAGCAGAAGTGTTATGTCTTGGTTGATACAGCTGACCTTGAAATAAAATTTGTTCTTCAAATCAAGTACTTCAGAATAGATCTATGCTCTTCTTTTTGATTTTTCTCCCTTTGACTAGAATTATTGTGTTCTATTAATTATGTGTGTTTTAAAAAGCATATGAAACAAAAAGCCCTCAATTCAGATCATCAGAAGTGATTGTTAGTTCAGTGATAATTTCACTTCAGTGAGTTGCAAGAGGAAATTTGCAGTTTGTGTCTTTTTGGAACATTACCAATCTGCAAAGCATCTTATTTAAATCCTGGTTATCACTTAATGTCTGCTTGCCCCTTCCCCCAATCAGATCTGGATCTTGATCAGTTAAGCAGTGTTTTAAAAAAACCCACAACCAAAACCAAAGAAACACAGTACTCATTCAGACAATTCTGCTGTTACTTTCTAAAAGCTTAATCCATACTGATACTCTAAAAGAGTCCTTATCTTGACTACTTCTACAGTCATGTTATCTGATCATCTCTCAACTTCCAATTATTTCTTCTCCTTATCCCAGTGAGATAGGGAAATGTGTTTTTCTTCTGGAGACATTGATAATTCTTTTCCATTCAAGACTGTGTTGTTATAGGAGCAGTGCAATGGGAGGCTACAGACTGGCAGTGAGGAGAAGCTGTGCCTGTCACAAATCACCTGTGTGGAACATGTTGAGGCCTCCCTTCTGGAGATATTCCCATGTGGCCTTATTTAGATTTTGCAGCCTTTTGGTCAGGTTGCATATTGGACTGAGACTCCTATGTCCATTGTTCCATGCCTAACTTGTGCTGTTGCTTGAATGCTGCAGTTGAGAAAGGTTTTGCCAAAACATGTGAGTTGAATCAGTCAACTTTCTGAATTATGCTCAGATGAATTATTTTTTTGAGAGAGATAGTTTGGTTTTCATTGTCTTCTAGGTGAAACTGGAATTTTTGATGGGAGAATTTTAGCTATGCATCACTTTAGTCCAATTGTTGGAATAACATTTTAACTTTGTATAAACTCCCTTACCAGAACATGCAGTAGCTCTCATGGGCAGAGTGACTTATATGGGCATGTTTCTCCAGGGATTACAAGTCACTGAGCAAATAGGCAAGGGTAATGGGTCTTTTCAGTTACCAGCCTTCTCTAAAAGAGAGAACCCAAGCATGCAGGGAGCAAATGAAAGGCAAGGGTGTAGTTCATGAGACTCCTGTTTTCTTGTTATGAGCAATTGCTGTGTGGCACAGTCGAGCTTTCCTCTGCCCTTGCTTTAGAGGCTGTTGCATTTAGTTCAGACAAACCATGCTGCAGGCATGTTGTGCAGGATTTGTTCCCGGAGACAGAGGACCACATAAGAGAAGTGCATGGTTTCTATGCTGCTTGTGCTGTGATACACTGTCTATTTCACACCTGCTAGTAAAAAAAGTGATTTTCATGCATGAAACAAGATGATTTATCAGTGGTTCTGAAGTAGGCTTGATGATGATGAAATTCAGTGTCACAGTTCATTACAATAATCATGCCATAATTTAGAAATTTAGGAGTTGAATACCTTAGGTGACATACTGTTTGCAGGGGAGTGAAGGGAAAAAAATTACTTACATCAGACCAAAGATTTAGAGTAAATGAGCAGAACTATGTAAATACAAAGAGGCATCATATCTCAGTATTATTCCCAAAAGACTGACTTTGACTGGTACAGACAAAACTGACAGTAATGGTGACTAGAAGCTGAAAGAGATCTTGACATTGTTAGGAGTAAAAGGAGCAGTCAGTGAGAGATGTATAATTGGTGTTTCTGAGCAGGCCAAAACAAATGTTAATTTAATTAATTTCTTCTTTAGAAATGACTGAAATAAGTAAACAGTAGTTTGATATCACACAGAAAGTAGTCATATTTTAGAAATACTGCTTGAATGTAGCACCATCTACTGGCTACAGGGTTTTTCATGGTTTTTTTTGTTTTGTTAAGTATAATTTTTCTTTATAATTCAATTAAATTTTAAGTGAGAATAAAAGAGACAGTCCAGGTCCCCACATTATTTCCACATTCCACATACATTTACTAAAAGAACTGTCAGTAAGTCTTGTCTTTTTTTTGTTTTCCACTCGCTGGAGGATTGAATGTACAAGTTACAGAATGTAGTTTTTGGAGATACATGTGTCTTTCTGTGGGAAGCAAGTCATGCATGCAGCTCAAAGATCAAGAAAAACTATACAGAACATATTAGCTCTCTTACTTATTAGAGCTAATTGTAACTATAGTTAGTAGGATGCTCTGTTTTTCACTATAAACAACTGGAAAAATTCTAGGGATATTGCACTGGTTCATTTTTGATACTCTGTCTTTTAAGAGTGTGCGTGGAAGTGTGAGAAGTGCTTCTTCTTTCTAATTTACTTACACTCACATTTCACCATTTATATTTTCTCTTTCACTCTTAAGTGATTGTGGCAAGAATTGATTTAAGTGATTTATCTGTAAAATATCATTTACTGGCTAAACAGAGCTGTGGGCGGAAGTTGGATAAAATGACCTGACACCACCATGTGACACCTTTAATGTGACAGAAACAGCATAAACATCTTTAGTTGTTAGTAACACTTTCTAACCTCTACATTTGGGTTTGTATATCTACCCAGATGTTATGTTTTATTGAGAATCTAAACTTTGTATCTTCCCATTTGGACTAGTAATGGAGTTGATGCAACCAATTTGTCAAGTACCTTCAGTTTTTATACCTATTTACTTTAGGGTTTGTGCTGATTCTTCTTTATAAGTTTGCTTTTTGTAAATGGAGATGTTAACTTGCTTCTCTTCACAGCTCTGAGAACATGTAATTAACTTTTGTAAAAAGAAAGAGCCTTTCTCATGGGGCCCACTTGTGGTTTTATTGTTAAATCGCAGCCAACATGGCTGGCTGTGGTATCTCCTGTGATACGAGTCCTTCCTTTAGAAAGCATTAATTGTACTGCATTTTAAAGATCTTTTCAAGATCAGGGACAAAAGTCAATCTGCACTTGGGAGAATTTCTGCTGGCCTGAAGAGCAACTGTAGTACAACCTAGTAATAAATGGATGATGTACATAGGTACCTTGCAGCACTCTTTAGTGTCTAAAGAAATTATGCAAGAAAATTCAGTGAAGGTGCCTGTGTTGTGCATAATGTGCTAAAGGTCACTGCAAGATCTTCAGTTTGGCACAAGTGGGCATTCGTTCCATCATATCGGAATTGTGTGAACTCCAGCACTATGCAGCCCTTCTCTCCCTGTCCCAAATCCCCTAAATCTTTGGGGCTTAATTTCAGATTGCAAGTTTAGAACAATCTTGTTAATCTCAGTACACAAGCACTCTCTATGCTTCTGCCTCTTCTTGCTGCACTGAGCAATTTTGCTGCATTGTTGCAATGTGCTTTTTAATTACAGTGAATTCTGTTTCACGTGTATGATGGACAATGTAGTAACAAAATAGTTTCAACTAATCACATAATTTCTGGACAGTTTTGAAGTAGCTGTCTGGCCTTTTGCATGTACTAATAATTTTTCTGCACCATGTGTTTGCTGGAAAATAGCACAGTTTAGCACTGAGCATTTTTAGCTACTATAGCAAAACTCTGGATGTGCTTTTGTTCACACAGCTTGTGTTTGGAAAATGTGAACAAAATAATTTCTACCTTTAGAACCATTGAAAATAAGTGGGAAATACTAAAAGTTATGATAAAAAACCCCTTTATTCAGCCTGAAATCCTAGAATGCACATACATATTAAGTTTTGTGAACAGAGGGTTGCAGAAACTCATTAACCAAAATACTATTAGCAGTGTTCCAGACAGATGTTCTCTTTCTCTTTAGCACAGTACCTCTGTAACTGACATGTGGAATAGGGGTGATTACAATATGAGATTATGTGTGATCCTGGTGTGTTTGCACTTTAAAAACATTTTCAGAACCTTATGTATTCAAAGTATCATCCTGAGGCATCAGTTCCAAGAGCTAGTCAGGTTTTGTTCATCGAGATCTTTGTGAGATGTGAGAAAGGTTTTAAATAATAGAACAGTTCTCAGATTATCAGGCTATCAGCCACTGGGATGCTTGATTGAAAGAAACTATGGAAACATTGAAATTTAAAATGCAAGTGGGAAACTGAAAATATTTTTTAAATACACAAGTCAGGCACTTGGAAATCCATCAGGTATCATTCTGGAATGATGCTGAGCTCTCAAAATGTCAGCTTACGTTGCAAAATGACATAAGAGGACTATAAAAAGGTGAGGAGAAATCTATGCACAGAGCTGCTAAAAGCTGTGATTCGGCAATCAGCATCCCAGAGTGGCAGTAAATGGCAAAATGAGCTCTTATTTTCTTCCCGTTCAGAATTAGAGTATGTAAACTAAATATTGCTCAGGAGAACAGGAAGTCATGATAAAATAAACAAAAATAAACAAAACAAACCAGTAAATTTGAATGGCTTAAGTAAAGGGATATTTGTGTCTTTTACAGAACTCAAGTTCGTTGTGGCAGGAACTGAAATGTCTTTAACAGCTGTAGGAGAAGGTAGCAGTCTTCTGTAGGAAACTTAAGAAAAAAATGGAATTTTATTTGTTCAAAAACTATCTGGTAGCTGGTAGGTGCTAACAGTTCATTGGAGCAATAGGTAATGGAAAGAAATCCTCTAAGAAGTCCTTACAAATACTTTCTGGCATGATGTGTACGGATGGCATATATACAACAGATTTCTCTGCTTATTAGTTCCCATTTTAAGATTCAGCATTGCTAAAAGTGTTGTCAAATTTCTCCTAAAGACTTGGGGACAAAATTTCTTCCTATTACTGAATGCTATCTCAAAGCAGGGGCATACCAATAATTCAGTAGCTGGGTACTCAAATTTATAAGTGTAAGTAAGGAAGTCAAAACAGAAGAGTTGGTATCTGGCTTGTGGCTACAAAGGCTTGTCATATATAAACCAGAGTCATTCTGCACCTGGATGACTGTTAACAAGATAGGAAAGAAGCCTCCATTGTTAGTAGCCCAGCCTCAGTTCAGGTTTCCCCTCCTTCCTC